CTTATGTAACTATTTGTGTGTTTTGATTGCATCCACATATATCTACACACATACGCTTCTTTTTGGGCTTATTTTACTTGTTGGTGAAAGTTTTGGGAAGCCATGATCCAAGAAAAACAAAACTTCTGCAGGGTTTTGCCAAGGATATTATTTTGTTTTGTCTCCTTTATTAGTGCCTTTTCTTTCTCTTAGTTTTGGTTGTTATATTACTTATGTCACTTGTTAATTTTCTACAACATCTTGATTTATTATATTATTTTAGAGTTCCCTTCAAACCATTTGCACTTGTCCAACTAATATTAAATTAGTGCTTAGTTATGTTTACTTTTTGTCAGTCAAGCTTTATTCATTTTCTTTATTATTTGAACTATTTGATATATAATTAGAGTTAAACATGAACCGAAAATTTTTCCAGACAAAGGTTATTTATGAAATTGTAATTCCAATTTATTTACATCTTAATTTCTATACATATTTTATACCTTTCTGTATTTTTCTCTTTCTTATTACATTATTTGTAACATCAATTATTTTTTCTTATTTTTCTCTTCTTTTTCTATCTTTCCCATCCCTTCAAAGATTAATACACTTATTATTATTATTATTATGAAACTGCCGGAATATTGCAAAAGCTTAGCCTTACCGGAACACAAATATTTTGTCTATTATCTTTTTCTTCTTTGTAGAGTCATTTGCTTGATGTTTAAAGCAAGTTGGAACTTGTTTAGTTTAACTCCTAGTTTCCTTTACCCTAAATAAATTTTAATACTGTTTGGTGTTATTGTTTGTTTAAGCTTCTGCCAAAATGTTCTCCACTACTAAAGCTGAATGTCATGCTTATAATTAATGTGAAGTTGACAACCATCCCCCACCCAACAAAAAAACATGGCAAAAGGGAGACATGAATAAGAGGTCGATACCTTCCCTTTTAGTATAAGGTTAGGTATACATTACTTGTACAATAGTTCAGCTGATTTCTTCCAAATAAAGGCTATGTAAGAGTAAGTTTGGACATTGGAAGGATATCCAAACCAAGCTTACAGTCACCCAAAAGTACCTATGTTCCATCATAACAATTTTCCGCTTGCTTCCTTTCAGAAAAAAAGGCTATATATTAAAGTTTATGCCAAAAATTAAAAAGAAATGAAAAGATAGAATTCAGCTGTGTTATATCATGCAGGATCATAGTTCTAGGTAGGATACATATTTTGAAAGTAGCATATAGTTGTTAGATCATATATAGTCAACCTTACCCTATATTCAAATAACATAAACATATTTATTATTTTTATATTTACAATTTTAAATATTTCTTTTTTAGTTATATACTATACTTTTTTTTCAATATATAATTTAGAAACTTACAAATTGAATTAATTTTTCTAAAAGACAATATAGAGATGATTACCGTAATACTACTCTACCTGGTCCTAGTTATTGTTATTCCTAACTATAATTCACTATTTATCTGAGATGAGACAAAATGATGAGAGAGAGAAAAAATTGAATTCAAAATAGAAAAAAATAAATTTTAAAATTTTAATTTTTATGTCAAACTTTCTTTTATCTCCTTTTTCTTTATTTTTTCTTCAACTAAATAAAAGAAAACACATCATGGATTTTCTCTCTTCCATATTTCCTTTCCACTCGTGGAAATATGGCATAAATGACGAAAGAAAAAAACAGTAAAAAATTATAGTGGTTGATAGATTCTATGGCCTTCTGAACATGTTCTGTCTCATACCCGTACTATATAGATGATTTGTCTCTATAGCCTCCACAATTTGTTTGGTATCACTACCATACTACAGTTTCTGTTTATGTATGTTTAATAATTATCCCCAAATTGTCACCCCCACTCCCCTAAGTTCACGGCTACAGAAAGGGTCACACACATGAGTACTTGTGCTACTTAATTGACCCAAAAAAGGGAAAAAGAAAAAGAGTACTTGGGTTAATTTTAATTCCCAAACATGTAACTTAATTTGTATATTATTAGCTAATTAATGCAATGGTAAGATATCACCAACTTGTGGTTAGATAGGCTATGCTTGTCGTGTTTTGTTGATTAATAATATAGTGTGTATGGTTAACTGTCATCTGAATCCACCTCTGGTGGTCAGTGCTAAGAACAAATAATTAATTGGCATGTAATTAACAAATTTATGTTTGCTTGAAATTTCAGGGAACAGTATATATGTAGTAGCAAAAATATTATTTCACAGGATTAGCGTCAAAAGTATCTTATGAGAAGATAAATAGGGGTTGCAGAGACTAACTTTTAATAATGCCTTTGACAGCCTTTAGGATAACATCAAGCAGGTTATCTATCCTTGTTTGTATTATGTATGTCATATAATTTAAATGCTCAAACTATAATATAACTGAATTCATTATTATCATGAGCTTCGATGCATTAAATCCAAGAAAAGTAAGAGCCTTCATCTGCATCTATAATTGAAAAAGATAATTCCTACTGATTATATACATTTTGGCATTCTTTTCATGGCTCTGAAATTAGAAGATAAAAATGTTAATTACATGGTATAATACAAGAGTATAAGTTGCGAAAAATGAGGTAAACTCCGTTAAAATTAATCAAATGGTGAATACTGTATTGATGTGAAATGATATGTGTATTTATCATTATTACTGTTGACTTTATCATGGAATTTTGGATGTCCAATGCATTAGCATGTTTTTCTCTAATTTATGATCTAAAACTTGTACGTTTTAATTTGTAAAACTGTACGGTCACATGCTTCTAAAAACAAAAGGAATAAAGTCAAATCTGGCAACCCAACAGCACTTTCGAATTACAAATTGCACCTCCCCCCCTTTCACAAATATGATTAGTTATGCGTTAATAAGTTCATCAATGGAAATTGGCTTAACAAGTATGATCAAGCAGTATCAATAAAAGCAATTTTCTATTTTTTTTAGTGGTCTTTTTTCAGGAGTAAAATGTAAATACGAGTAATAGAGAAACATCCAACATCTTAAACTTAATCTAAAAATTTGTGTTAATAATTGATTATTGCATTATAAATAAAAATAAAAGTATGATAAAATCTACTGTGACTTTTGCAATTACAAAAATTTAAAATTCTCTTTTACATATAAAATAATTTTCAACATTAATTTTAGATTTACAGATAATGAAGTTAGTAGTTTAATTAAACATTAATATAAAGAAAGTATAAAATATTTTCTTAAGTTTATGGATAACACATCAATCATTCTAAAATATTTTTATTTCTCAAACTACAATCTTGAAACATGTTAAAAAGAAACTCATTCGACTTTCTCCAATCTAAAATACTTTTATTCTACTCCATATCCTATTTAAAAAAAGTATAAAAACAGCAACACAATTAATGTGTTAAAATGAATATCATAACAGTACGTTTTGTTTTTGTTTTTGTTTTTATTCTAATTTAAAAGTCAAATAAAAATAATATAACAAAAATTATATAAACAATACACGAAGGTCCACCCAGCAAAATCAGGATGGGATGGAGTTCAAGGTGTTACACGCTGCTATGTCCTGAAAAGTTATTCGTATACATCTTACACGCAAAAGCAATTAAGTATACCCTAAAACCAAATGATTAAGACAGGAAAACCAAAATAAATTTGGAACAAAGATAACTACGATATGACCAACTGCCACTAGAATGTTATGAACATTATTTTTTGGAAACGGCATGCCAACCTCTTGTATTATATTTATTGCCATATATCACATATTAATTTTAAATATCAATAAATAGCATTTGACAGCATGCTTCTATATTAATATCTGTTATAAACAATAGATTATTCATTAACAAGAAAAATAAAAAAAAAAGGGTTTGGGTCATAGCTGCCAGCTCACTGCTAGCCATGTTCAAATGTTCTGCATTGAATTTCTCGTCTAAATGTTTGAGGATCGGATGCCTCTTCGCAATTGGCTTTGAAGATTATGTTATTTGGAAAGTTTAAATTATTTTATGCTTAGAATCCAATATAAAAAAAGTTTAATGGCATAATGTAATTTTTATTTTTTTTAGTTTTAATTGCTCATATTCAATCTTTCTTATTTTTATATGCTTAAATTAAATCTTATATTCTAACATTAAGACTTTTATTATATTTTATTTTGATATTTTTATTATTTAAATAAATAAAATGTCATATTTTAATTAATTATTGGAAATATTTACTCATTTTTAATGCTTAAAATTCTATATGAAAAAAAATTGTTATATATTTGATTGAATCAAGTTGTGGAAAATAACAAAACAAAGTTGGTAGATGAAATAGTATTCCAAAAGTTGTGAAAACGCATTGGTATCTTATTTAAGGCCTAATAAGTAGCTTCCTACTCTATTCGTGAGTTGTCCGGTTATATTTGAGTTATTTGTATGAATGTTAGTCAATGTATGATAATTAAACAAAATATATAATATTTAAATTATTAAATTATTAAATAATTAAAATTATAAATCATAATAAATTGAAGAATTATAATGACTAACATTATAGGGAGAGAATTGTACCATCATAATAATTTGCATAAACCTCGGCGAGAGATGAACCAGTGTTTCAAAAGTTGTGAAAGCGTGATTAGTATCTTGTTTAAGGCCTAAATATGAGTAGCTTCCTATTTTACTCTATATGTTATAACATTACTAACTTTGCATTTACATGAATATACGTATAAAATCACTTGACTTCAGGCTTATAAAAAAAATAAACATAAAAACCAGTTGAGTTTAAATAGTTTCGATCTCTAGCCAACGTGGATGGGGCAATGTTATGGCCCAAAATCCAGTTGTATTATTATGTATACATATGATGAAATAAAGAATTATGTGATATATAGAGACCAAGCATGTAAACTCATTAATTAAGTAATTAATTAATCTCGATGGCTTGTGGCCTGCTTCTTTCTATATAAACCATATTCGTAGCTAGCCAAAGCAATAATAAAGTAGCTCAAGCACAATTATAACACGATGGCTTCACATCTCCAATCATTGCTTGTGCTTGTATTGGTCACTTTGACCACAGTTTTTATCCCTTCCAATGCACATCTTACTCCTGATTTCTATAAGAAAATTTGTCCTCAGGCACTGCCAGTCATAAGATCAGTCGTTTATCAAGCAATTCTTCGTGAACGGCGCATGGGAGCATCATTGCTACGTTTGCATTTTCATGACTGCTTTGTTAATGTAAGTTTTTGTGTGAAATAATGTATGATATTCTTATATGTCGTTGGTGTAATTAGTTTTATGTTTTAATGCCATACATTTAGACATACAATATTGGAATACTGTGGACTGTGGTCGAGTAACTATGTTAATTTGTAGAAATCATAATTGAAAACTTATTAGTATATATATGGTCAATTAATTGATATATATGGTTTACACAAATATAAGTTTTTCGATTCTGCTAGCCCCATGTTCAGCTGTAGCTTTTGCCTTTACAAGAGGTACTTCAACCCTTGTAGTTGATAAAGCTTACTATGATCCTTTACTTTTTCAAACGCTTTTACTGTCAAAGTGTAATTTTATACCAATGGAGCCGATTATCTTCATGTAAACAACTTCTTGCCACGATTATTTTGGTTTTACGTTGAAACTTAAACAGTTGCTTCAAATTGATCAACTGCTAATTAACATGTTTGGGAATCATTTGAACAAAATCATGTTTAGATTGAAACGTTATTCTCACACCTCAATTGTAGAAAACGTGGTAAGATAAAAAGGCTTTCCACTTAATTCACAAGGGAATGTTAGATCAAACATTAAATTCATAAAATAAATTATTCTTATTTAAAGTCTAATCACCCTTAATTATTAAGAATTAAAGAAAACCTTGAAACTGACATGAAAATGATTGTCACTTTCTATATATAATATATAATAATTAATTTCATGATTTGTTCAATCCTTGGAAGCACAGGGGTGTGACGGATCAGTTCTGCTAGATGACACCAAAAACTTCATTGGCGAGAAAACAGCCCTACCAAATCTGAATTCAATAAGAGGTTTTGATGTGGTTGATGAGATTAAAGCAGCGGTTGATAAAGCTTGCAAACGTCCTGTGGTATCATGTGCTGATATCTTAGCTATAGCTGCTCGTGATTCTGTATCCATAGTAAGTATATTATATACAAACAAACTTTTCATTACAGCTGTATATAACAAAGTGCTTTCTGTTAGGACATTAAAACCTTAAATTACGTTATGTACATTCTTGCTACTAATTTCTTAAATTAAAAAAATAACATTCATTTTTTTAATATCAACTCACTTTTATTAAAAATATATATATTTTTTTAAAAAATCAATATATTGTCATTTGATTATTATCGAAGTTTAATTTTGTCCTAGGGTTATTAGTAAAGTGAAACCTTACCCTACTTAATTTTGTGATTGTAAGTATATATATATACAAATGTTTAAAATAATAGTAAAATTAGTAAAATAACATAACTCTTTCTGTGAACAGTTGGGGGGTCCACGACTTTGGTACAATGTATTACTAGGAAGAAGAGATGCAAGAACTGCAAGCAGGAATGCAGCAAACACCAACCTTCCTCCACCATTCTTCAACTTCTCACAGCTTCTCTCTACTTTCAACTCTCATGGATTGGACCTCAAAGATTTGGTGGCACTTTCTGGCGGACACACCATTGGGTTTGCTAGGTGCAGTACCTTCAGGGACCGCATCTACAATGACACCAACATAGACCGCATGTTTGCAACCTCTTTGAAGAAACAATGTCCACGAGTTGGTGGTGACAACAATTTGCGTCCATTGGATCCAACTCCTGCAATGGTTGATACCTCATACTATAGGGAATTGCTGTGCAAAAAGGGTCTCCTTCATTCTGATCAAGAACTCTACAAGGGAAATGGCAGTGAAAGTGACAAATTGGTTGAACTATATAGCATGAACCCTTTGGCTTTTGCTGAAGATTTTAAAGCTTCTATGATCAAGATGGGTAACATGAATCCTCTTACTCATAAGAAGGGAGAGATCAGACGCAATTGCAGAAAATTTAATTAATTAATATTGCATCTCACAAGTTTGGACCACAATAAATGTTGAAAGAGTAAGAAAAAGTACTATAAATTTTATAATATGTCAAGAGAACTAAGCCTTGCATATGCATGTAATTTTTTAACTGTCGGTGATTGTGTTATTTAATTTTTTTTATTACTAAGTTGTATAATAATGCCAGGTTCAATTGCTATATATTGAACCAAAAGTATCGAAAAGAAATCTTTGTTGAGTGCTTATGCAACAGTTTGTAAGTGTTTTGGATTCGTGGACTAAGGGAATTATTATATTTATTTATGTTACATTTTATGGAATCTAGCCCAATCATTTCTGTATTAATACAGCGCTTCATTTATATTTCATGTAAATTAACAAATTCTCCATTGAATATAAACATGTATAATAAATTCAAGATCATTTGTAATCAATTTTACTTTGTCAAACATGACCAGATGTCACCTTAATCAGGGTCAATTCTTCAAGATAATATCATTTTTTTTGGGGTCAACTGTTCTACAAATGCAGTCCCAAAAAAAAAATTACACCATGAAAGGTAGTACTGAGTGAGCATTCCTTGGGACAATAAAATCTAAAAAATTGGATCCAAATAAAATAAAAAAACTGTAAACTTCAAACTATTAAAATCTTATTTATGCCTTATTTTATTAAAATGACATTTAGTTGAATTAAACTTTGCCTTAACTATATGGTATGCTTAGTGCTCCAAATCTTTTGCAAATGAGATATATAAGGCTCCATTCATGGCCTTAATCTTAGGGCATAGATTGAGTGTATAAAAGATGTTTTACTCATCATATTTTGCAGGGCAACTTGGCCTGCAGTATAAAATAAGGGAAAATTAAACAGCTGTTAATTATGCTAATCGCGTAACGTTTATGTAACATTTTAGAGAGCATTATTACATATCTGGTCAAAGTGAAAGAATACACAAAGAAAGCTCCAATAATTACGTGGAATCCGTATGCTCCTACTGTAATTACATTTGGACTAACTATACAATATCATCTAATCTATTTGATGGAGACCAATGAATTATGAAGTGGAGATGCATGTCACACGCTCTGCGTACTTAGTTATTAATATCTACTTAGTTTTTTTTTTTTTTTATACCGATCTAAATGTGTTTAAGAATCGATTTAAAATATTTTTAAAAAAATTATATTTTCAAAAATTAACAACCAAAAACTTAATTTTTTATTCAAGTCAATTTAAATTTTTATATATAAATTTAAATCAAATCGAATTGTAAATATATTAAGTTTATATTAACTTTTTATTTGATTCTCATGTAAATTTAACCTAAAATATATTTTATTAAATATCAAATCACATAATTTTTCTCACCTGAAAATTAAAATTAAATAGACTTATTTGATGGGCATGATAAAATAAAAAAAATATGATAAATAAAAAATACAATAGCTGAATATATATTTTTTATGTTAATTTGATACATATCAAAATAATAAATATAATATATTATTTTATTATATTTATTTTTTAATCTTAAGTTTCTTACAAAATAAAATTTATATTGAAAATAAAATAAAATAAAATAATTTATAATATTCTGTGATACTGTCCACGCTTTATAAGTCATGACCACTCCTCAACCTCTTTCAGTGCATATGAATATAATTTTTGTTTTAGTTTTTTTCACTTCGTTACTTGCACGACCCACTCCACAGTGACGTACAAAGCGTGTAATAGCAGATTCTTAAGACAAGGTTTTCTCCTCTTTCCCTGTCTCTGCTCATAATTTGATATGTTTATGATTGACAAAGCTTTACAGAATTTTTTGTTTTTTTGAGAAAACATACATATATATATATATATATATATATATATATATATACTAATTTTGAGATAATTTAAGAGATTGACGAGGGAAATTAAAGTACGTATAAATCAAACAATCAGTTTAAATCACGATCCCAATTTTTGGTGTGTTTTGTAATTTGCACAAATTAAAATGTCCTTGATCCATAATATTTAATTTTATAAAACAATTTTATTTTTTTTCTGTCTCTTTTACCAATTATTTATAGTTTTCCATCGTTAACTTTTCTTTGCTTCGTAAATCCGTGTTTAATATTGTGTAAATATAATTTATATTTTGATTTTCTTAAAGTGTGCTTTTCAATACACAATAATAAATTGTAAGTGAAAAGGATAACATTTAATATTATTAATATATTAAATTTTGTTCTATCTCATAATTTAATATATATAAATTTTTATTATATTCTTGAATACACGTTAAATTATTTTTGAGGACAAGATTATTAAAAATTTCTTCACTACTGTTTATTTTTAACATTCTTTTGGCTTATATAATATGCATGAAACTCTCCCGGCCCCCTTTTCGTGGCATGCAATGCACTGATAATTGCATGCAATGTATAGAGTATTGAGCGAAACCCTCTTGGATCACAATGATCTAAACTATATATTATGTAGATAACTTAAGCACATAAGCAAGTACTCTCTCTCTCTCTATATATATATATATAGATCTTATGCCATACCTAGATCGATGAACACACATCAATACCCTTGTTGATGTGTTAAGATCGATTGAGCCTCGTACAAACAAAATGGCTTCTCATTTCCTATATTTCCTTGTGTTTCTTTCTCGTTCATATGCACAACTCACTGCTGATTTTTACGACAAAGATTGCCCTGAGGCACTGCTAATAATTTAGTTAGTTGTTGAGAGAGCAATATTACGTGAAATTATGCCTTTTGGTGTTTCATGTATTTCTGTGTTTTTTTTTTTCTCTTTTGATGCAGATTTCCATAATGATGTGACCTGGTTTAAAATTATTTTAAAATTCAAAATTTATTTGAGGATACAAAACAAAATTACCAGATTGGATACTTTTAAAAAAATTTATATTTTACTAAAAGTAATTCTATATCGTATTATTAATAAATGGTAATATGTCTAAAAAATGAAGACCTTACAGTGATTTTGTGTCGAAGTATGACAAAACCAGTAGTTGGGCTCAAACCTATTGGACTCTAACAGTCCAATTGCAAAATTTAAGAACTTCCATTTTTTGTAAGCTCACTTTTTTTCCACTGAAATGCAGGAGCAGCTTCTTTGACTGAATTCCGGTAGTTAAAATTTCAATTGGTTATCATGCCATTAAATCTATGTAAAATAGTATATTATTTTCAGAGTGCTGCTGTTGACACATATATATTTAACTTAATTATTCTGAATAAAAAAATGTATATAATAATTGTTGATTTATTTTAACATTACAAAATGATGAGAACTTGTTCAGGGATTCTATTGTAATGATGCAACTCTTGTAACCTTTTACACCACGAAAATGATAGGAGAATAACAACACTTACTTTTTGTTGTTAAGGGACAAATAACATAACTCTTAAGTCTTTATTGAAAGCATCCAATTATAAATTTAAGGAGAACTACATGTGACAGACAACTACCACACCTTACGATTCAGATACTTAAATATCATCACACACACACACACACACTCTAAGCAATACCACAATACATGAAAGATTGTGACTTAAAATAAGCATGTTTTGCTCATCAGTTTCAATTAACTTTGTGGCAGTTAGTACGAATTTGACCATTGTTCCCTGTTAAAGGACTAAGGTTTCCCATTTTGACCATGGCACTAGCAAAGTCAGCATAGAAAGTTGAAGGGCTGGTGCTATAGGTACTGACTTGAGAATCTGTAGAACCACCACTAAAAAGTTGCTGATCAGAATGTAGAAGCCCTTTTTTGTTTACTAGATTCTTGAAATAAGCATTGTCAAATAACACATTGGTTGTGACATCAAGAGGGGAGAGGTTGCTGTCACCATCAGTGCTTGGACAATTTGATTTCACTGACGTTGCAAAATCTGAATCAATGTTGCTTTCATTGTAAATGCGGCCTCTGAAGAATTGGCATTTGGCTTGCCCTGTTGTATGTGCTCCTAAAGATATATACACAAATTTTGGTAAAAAGGTCCTTAATCATGATATAAATTGATTAATTAGATATAAATGAAAGTCCTTGAAAGTTTTTTTCATGTATTTTTAATTTACCTGAGAGGACTACCATCTCTTTGGTGGTAAACCCCTTATTTGAAAAGGCAGATATGAGATCACTGAGATCCATTAATGGGGATGGGATATCCTTAGTGGCAGCATCTTTACTTGCAGTTGTTGAATCTCTTCTGCCTAACCCAACAGTCCACGATGGACCACCCAACTGATATCATCAAAATACCAATAAGTAAAAGCTTTAATTAAATTAAAAATAAAGTGTTAAACATTAACTTTAAAGTTGAGTTCCAGCACTTAATATTAATAATATTTTTTTATTTTAAAAAATAGAAGTATTTGTTATAATTCTAAAGCTGAAGTAAAAAAAAATAAAATCCTTCAATTAATCATACTTAAGATTTCAAGATATACATGAATTTCTAATAAAAGATTCAAAATGCCAATTAATGAGTGCAACAGGTCTGAATATATTCAATCTTAGTAGAGTATAATAAATTAAAATTGTTCCTATACAAGACATTTTTTTTAATAAACACAGTATAATTTTAAAACTGATGTGTGTGTATTCCTGTTTTATTTATCTTGGTTTCTATGAGTTCAAATATTGATTATTGTATTAATTAAATTAACTTACTGCTACAACAGAATCACGAGCAGCAACAGCAACAATATCTGCACAAGAAACAATTCCAGGACAAGCAGTCTCTAACTGACTTTTGATGTCGTCAATCACTTCAAAACCTCTCAGAGAATTCACATTTGCACCAGCTGACTTCTCTCCGGTGAAGCTCGATGTGTCATCTAATAGAACTGATGCATCACATCCCTACAAGACCACTCATAACATTCAATAAAGACACAAATATTCTCCACTATACTAGTAAATTATGTGTATTGCAAGCAACGCATACTAGCTAGCTACATTCTATTCCATGACGAAGTCAATAAAAATTTATTATTTTCTTAAACTCATCTCTAATAATTGATATTAATAAAACTATTATTTTATATGTAAGGGTTTTGTTAGCTCCAGCATTTCTTTAAGCATTTAAAAAAAATAAACAAACAAATAAATAAACACATTTATTGTATTAAAGTTATAAAAAGTATTTAATAAAAATTTAGTATTATTAATTGTTTAAAACTCAGTTGTAATATAATACTTTGGAAGTCATATATATGTACATGCATTTTTGTGCAAGGTGAGTGAATAAGAATAATGCATGCATTTGGCATGAGTGAGGGAGATGAAGGATGAGGGAAAGAAGTTATATAGAACGTGCATTAACGAAGCAATCGTGGAAATGAAGACGGAGCAAGGACGCGCCCATGCGATGCTCTTTGTTAACTGCACTCAGCACAGCAGATTTTATGGTAGAGAGGGCTTTGGGGCATGTTGTTCCATAGAAATCTGAAGATAGCTGAGCAGAAGCTATAGCAAAAAGGGGAAACAAAATAGAGAAGCAAAATATGTCATAACGTGAGTTGAAAGCCATAGTCCAAAAAATCACCAACACTAGCAATGAGAATTGTGAAGGTCAAGTTTTAAACTTGTGGATATTCTTTGAGTAAACACTGATCCTCGAGCTTAATTTATAGAGGCATGCGCGCTCCATTTTGGACTTCATGCAACATTATTTTGTCTCTTTTGTTATGATCAATTTAATTTAATATAATTTAGTCAAAATACCAGAAAAAGAAACACCACATATGGGTTATTGGGTTTCAACCAAATTCTCCCATTTTATTAATTACTACTAGTTGCTTAATTATTTTGAGTTGTAAAGTTGATGGAAAAAAGGAAAATTGATTCCTTATTGAATTAGTAGATTTGGAAAATTTTGCTTGCCAAGCTGCAAATGTAATGAAGAAGGTTTGAAGTACATATATAAATTGTTCTCTTTTGAAAAATTCTTTGCGGCACTAAAATAATAAACAATAAATTTGAATGTCACGTCAACCTTTTGTATTATAAAGTGATAATATATTAACAAACATACCCTGGATATAAAGCACAACACACTAGATATACACAGGAATAATCAAGGGAAAATAAAGTATACTTTAAACGACTTTGGGTCGCATGCATCGCATTCTTTGTTTTTGCCATTAACTGTAATTTACTACTGTGTATTTCTTTAATGTTAGTGTTATGGGCATGTGAAAACGAATCAAAGAGAGAGATACTCAGTATTTGAAATAAATATTTCACATTCAAAATTAAGGTGTAGAGCAATGGCCAAAGCAAAAGGAAAAACTAATTTTTTAAAATAAAAATTGGTTCAATGCTTTGACATGTGAAGTTTAATTTGCTTTTAGAATGCCAAACTCCAATAACTAATTTTCTCCAGCATGCTTGGATAATAACGTAATACTGAGCAATAATAGTCATAAATGCTAGCTACCAACTTATATATTCAACACCTCTACCATAAGAAAATTAAATGTTAATACCCAACGAATAGTAGTCACCATATTTCTATTCACTACTAAAGGAAAAATTGTACAAGGAAAAATTGTACAAGGGTCCTTGTATGTCGTGCTTTTCTTTCATAAACTATTGGAGTTTGGAATGTGAACATGAGATTAAAGGAATCAAGTTAGTCAACAAAATTATTTCCCAAACTTGGAACCAAGTTCTGCCAATCTGCCAAACTTAAGAACATTCCACATGTATGATAATGTTAATAATAATAACAAAAGTAAACGTTAAATACAAAAAGGGTCTAAAAGGTTCATATTTGAAGTGGTTTGAGAGAAGATCATGCTGATGAAGAGTTTATAATGACATCATAAGTTGGCATTCTCTAACAAATTAGAAGTTAGCATTATACGTACATTGACTTTTCATTCATCACTAGCATATTCAATGTCTCAGGTGAGGTCCACCGTTTATCCTTTGTGTCACATTTTGATAAATTTGGAATATTGATTTCTACTTTCTCCATTCATTTGAATTTGCAAGCAAGCAGTCGAAATGGAATATAAGAAGCAAGATGATGACTACCTACTTACTGTTGCCCAACACCCCACTAACTAAATTCATGGTTTACACCTTTCTTTTGGGCTCTCTTTCAGAGTGCAGCGGTGCAAGTATACAAAAATGGGTAACTAGTTAAATTACTCCCTAAATCAGTTATGTTATTTCTTGAATGATAAAAATTAGGCCTAAAGTTCTTGAATGTGCAATTTTTCAATTCAGATAGTCCATGTCAGGAACCTCAACAATTGCATTGACCAATGAAAATACGTATATGGAGTCTTCTCTGACCAACTAAATACATATGAAGGAACTGAGTGTAATTTATATCCTCCATAAATTATTACTTTAGGACTAAATTAATTATCAATGCAAAATCTTGAAATTGCAAAGGCGTTAATTTTGTCATTATCTTCTATGTAATTGAGAAACTCTCCTTGGATAAATATAATAGAGAATTATAAAACGAGGAATACTACTGAAATTAATGCCTGCATATTCAATTTCATAATTAGGCATATAAAGAACTTTTTTTTTGTCAATTTTTTTGAAGAAATAATTTTACAAATCCTACAACCTAATTGAATCTAAATTAACACCACTTTAGCTGTTGCAATGTGCAACCAAAATCCTTTTCGAATTACTGTCATCTCTCCTTATGGTAAATGTTATGATGGCGTTGAATTTTCATTGGCAAAAATAACCCATTCTTCCCACGCACAATAGTAGTAATAATAATAATACAGTGCAGCCTCCCTCATCAAACGTAGCTCCTCACTTGTTTTAACGAAGCTTAATATCATTTTCAATGATACACCAGAAAAGAGTTCTCGCTGGGAGCACTAACCCCGCCATGATTTTGCTGTGCACCTTTTCGACTCGAATAAAATTGTCTCGTGTGATCTTAAAAAATATGAATAAATTGAACAATCAATATATAATGGCTATCTGAAATTCCGATTTCTAAGGCTAAATCTGCGTGTCATCATTTCCACGACTCTATATCATGATTTTCTTCTTTTCTTGCACCTTTAAACAATATGGCAAATCAAAGTTGGTTGATTGGTAAGGGGCTCGCTACTTCTTAAATATGCTTATTGACAAGTATCTGTTACAACTCTCAGAATACAAAGTTCTCTTCCTCTGCAGTATCACTAAGCAATCTATCTCCCGTCTCTCGAAGAGCAGCTGCTGTGGAATCATTTATGCCCAACAGATACTGCAAACGAGACAATTTTTCCGGAGTTGGATTACTCTTCGTGAATATTGCGTAAAGATCAGCAACCTCCTCTTGCACTTCCCATGAGAGTGGCCGTGCGGGCACCGCTTTGTCACAAGCAAGCATATTGTTGAGTGAAGAAACCTGTACAAAAGTCGAGAAACAGTCACACTTGGACTATACCCAACAAAATCTAGAAATATATTACAATTTCTGAACATGAAGCTTCAGAAAATCACTTACCACTCCTTGCCGATTTTTCTGTCTTAATAGTGCCACAGCCTGAATGAGTGAATTCGACAACCTAGTTCGTGCAAGCTCATGAACAACACCTCTAGCTTTCTCTTTATTGATGCTGAGATCCAATGGGATTCTTTCATATACTTCCTCCTCATCGAACTCTCCAGTACCTGATGCGAAAATATCATCAACAGTTTTTTTGAAGAGGGTCTCTCTCAGGTTCTCAGATACCATGTTGTCTATATCAACACTGGCTTCCTTAAGTTCTCTTATCTGCTTAATATTCAGCCTCCCTTGAGTTACTGCAGTTTCAATGGAAGCTGCCATTTTGGTTGTAGTTATATTCTTGATTATCTTCTGAGCATATTCTTGAGGTAACCCAACTTGCTTCTGCAGATTATTAAGCTGCTCCACCCTGGCCTTTGTCAACTGTCCATCAGCTAAAATTACTTCAGCTTGTTGCCTAAAAGCTTGCTCTGCTAGACCTCTATGTACTTCGACTATTTCTTTACCGCTCAAACCAAGAATACCACCAAGTTGATTTAGAAGAATATATTCTGAATCATCCCTCTTTGTAGTGATTTCAGCACCAAATGGAATCCGTTTCACTTCACCAGTTAGACAGAAAAGCAAGTATATCTTGTAAAGATCAATTCTGTCTCTTTCTGGAAGGTCATCTTTAAGAGTAATTTCCGTCTGACCAGGCTTTCCCATCTTTGCTAAAAGTTCTTTGTCTGGTCTTATTTTCTTCAGGGTCTGAAGAGAATCCCAATCCTCATCATCAGTTTGTATCACATCAACCTTTCCAAGATCTTCAGTTGATTCATCATCTGACTCCCCTTTAATGTCCTTCACCAATTGGGTCACGACCAAGGTGTTGAAAGCTATCAACTTCTTTAGTTCTTTTGCAGATTCTGTACGACTCCCAGCTGCCCGTGCCCGTTTTATGTAATTAATAAATATCTTCCTTACCTGTAGTGTGATAAAAAACGATAGAGCAAAAGTTAAACCCATTTCAAATCCAAATACATAAGCAGGTGTCTAATTTCATGAAAAATAGATACTCACAGCCTTGCTTGCAATAGACATAGCAGTCTCCCTGGTTAGTCGCAAGCCATGTGCTGCTTTTCTTACTGATTTCCTGATCTCAGCATCATATCCTTCAACACCTGATTGGATTGCCTCTTTGACAACCTATTAAGGAAAACATGACTCGAATTCTTTAATAAATCCGGCATAAATTGAAACACACTTGCAACACAGTAAAATCAAAAGAATACATGTTCTTCACACAACAATATCTGAACTAACTACAAATTTAGCTTTCCTTTTCAGCTTGGATGCAAGAGAATAGTATGTAGATACATGTCTACAGAGCAAATAGGAGGCTAAATAAATTACAAGAATTTCAGACTAGCAGTTCCAAAGAAACACATTTCAAGAGAATATTGACAAACTCAATCATGCACAAACATTATGACAGTTCAAGTATCAGATAAATGATACAGCAAACAGTTTCAGGGTCTCTATCACCAAGCTACAGATAAATGAGTGCATCATCACCACATGAAAATGTGACTTCCCATTTTAACATTCCAAATAGAGAGCAGAATAAAGTTTGAAAAAGAACTTAAAGAAATAAATGGCAAGAAACGATGCTCTGTAGAAACCTCTTCTGTTCCACTGTCTCTAGAAGCAACATACCATTTTCATTAATTTCTAGCTGTACAAATCAGCAACAACCATGGACAAACCTTAGGTCATGGAGAATGGAAAAGATTGGCATCCTCACACAATAAATGATTCACAAAAGGATGCATGGATTTAAGTAGACATAATCAATGAACTATAGAGGAAGAAAGAAACACAGTACCTTTTCAAACAAACTGCCACAGATATCTGAGTGAGCAGCTTCAACAGTCTGTTGAGGTATACAGAGCATAACACGTAACCTTAACAAAGCAGAAGCATCTTCATCGCTGAGCTCCCCATCAGCCACCAATTGCTGAAGCTTTTGCCGGTATATTTCTTAATATAAAAAAATATAGTTAGATTTTAAAATAATAAAATAAATGACAGAAGGAAGATAACAGTCACATTATGCAAAAAGAGAAGCATGACAACAACTAGGAAAGTAGATACAAAATTAAGATATTACAATCTTAAGATTAAGAACCACATAAATATAACCTTAAAACACAACAGATTCAAAATTCTGGTAAAATTCCAGCTACTGTAAACATAACAAGGATAACAGAGAACAAGTTACCATCATGAATTTCACCAGCCTTTTGTGGATCAAATTGTAATTTATCACACAAATTTTGAAGGAATGCTGCCTTGCTATCTGCCATTTCTAAATCACCGCTTGAGACAGCCTGTGCAAGTTGTTTGCGATATATTTTTGATGTAACATCAAGTGTGATGGCTTCAGCTTCACGTTTACCCAACCCAAATATATTCCTCAACTGATTTAGCGCAACAAGCTGAAATATATGTTAAATATATTAGAAAATAAGCTGTGTCTTATAAATAGTAGTGTTTGAGTAAAGAAAAATAAACCAGATATACATGTCAAATTTCAAAACACAAACTTAATCTATCAGTCATGTGTCTGTGCTTAGCAGAGATCAACCATACAAACAGAATTAGAGAATGAACAAAAGTACATTCAAGGAAGGATCTTATGATTGTAGATTTTAAATGTTAAAAAACTACCAGACTTCAAAGTTTGAGGCTAAAGCTGTATAGCAAGGACAAAGGAATTATTTTACAATATCAAAATGCTCCTACCAAATAAAACCCACTAGCAGTGAAACATGGTAAACAACAAACATGTAGTGGTGCTGAAAACAAATTCTACCTTAAATTGAAATATTTATGATGAGAATGATGGCAACAAGGATTGAATTCAAAACAACCTGTTCAATCAGGCTTTGGCACCATGTAGAAGTGAAAATACAAGGCAGAAAATAGAGAATAAAGAAAGACCAGGAAGGCTCACTATAGGCATAGCTTCATTCAATATTAATGGTCAAATCGAATCCAGAGTTGCACTTGCATTTACTTTAAGTATTCGGAAGCCAAATTATATATCGAAATCATAGGGATAGAGCTCCAATTCACAGCTAGCCCATTACATTTATCTTGTCCAAATATCCATCCATTTTATAATGTCACCACATTCAATGAAATAATTGCAATATTCTGACTCGAGAAAATACTTATCCAAACTCAACTTCAAATGATTATTAGTTTCTATAAAAAAAAATGGATATATTAAGAATTCCATATATTAAATGGATGAAATGGCCATTTACATTGTTATCTTCCATGTGACCGCCAGACAAAGCATTTGCAACATATGCTCTGTAAAGAAGTTTCAAATCCTCTATCTTTTTGTCACCATCATACTCACCACCTGTGCCAAGCGAAAATAAATTAGAGTCAACATAAAGAACTTATAAAATACCTGAAGTAGAACAAGACTAAAAATAATAAAATAAAGTCAGTCAGGAAACATACCCAGTAAAGAAACTGGGCCAACACCTCGGGCAAAGCAATCCACATCAGGATGGTTCTTTAATGTGATGAGTACATTATTGAAAGTCAATATCTTATCAAGCTCCTCTACAGCTTGGCTAACTCCAGAGCTAAAAGATTTTAAATTGATTAGAAGTGGAAATTGTTAATTTGCAAATTGCTTGCATCTATAAAAACCCTAAGAGATTGCAAATAAAATCATTGTGGGGACATCAGAAAACAGAAGCTCAACTATTAATGAAAACCTGTAGTGAATAGTGATCAAATCAGTCAACAAAAACAGTAGCTGAAGTCAGGAAAATCCACCAACATTGAGTGCCAAAAAATAAAAATACTACAAGATACACTTTTTTGGAGAACTAGAACCCTTACACAGCTCTTGTGCGGGATTTCAGTATATCAAGTGCAACTGAAATACTTTCCTCAACCAATTTCCGTGTGCGCTCCTTAAACAAGTTTTCAGCAAGCTTCAAAGGAAATTTTGTTCTTGGTTAATACATAGTAGATTATTTCCCCGTGGAACTCTTTAATAGTGAAAGAAAGGGATATTAAATGAGAAGCAGTCAAAAGTTCTATCTATGAAAGAAGAAATACACCTGATCAGAAAGGCGATACAAGCGTTGTGCTTCTCTCAGTGTAACAAGTTGTTCAGCATCAATATCTGGCAAGAAATGTTTCGTAACAGTTATCTTAGAGAATTACAGATTTCAGAATAAACTTATCAGATGAATGCAATCAGAACATAAAAAGACTTTATTTAATAAGACAAACATATACATAATAAACTAAAGAAAAGCATAATATACAAACTGTTTCTTGACATTAACAGACATTGATTGATGCCAAGTGTACCAAACTATCTTCTTGTAATTTAAGCAAAAACATCATAATTATTTTGATATATAAAATCAAAGTACAAAAATTACAACTTAACTTGAGGATTAACTGGAGCATTAACTACTTCATTACAATAAGAGCTAAAGCTCTAAATGCATTTCATAATGCATAATTACCTCTGCCAACTGATTTGAGCTTGGAAGCATATAATCTTTGGGCATTGTCACGTATAGCAACTTCAACCTACAACATGTATTATTGCAGTCAAAAAAACAAAAATAATAGCATAGCAAAAGAAAAATGACTAGAAAAGCAAATTAAATGATGACAAAAAGATGAAACTAAATCAATGTCAGCGTAGTTTGACTGTTGACAAATGGAAATGTGCGATTTATGCAGCAAAATGTTAGTTCTTTGTTTTTGCAAAAAAACTTGTACATGATAATAGAGTGATTTTCCCAGTCTGATTGCATGACAAAAAACCATATCACACAATACATGACACGTGTATAATCTGATAAATATGTAATTAAATACCTGAGAATCAGTGACCTTGAAAACACGCTTCCATGGTAGAAGGAAGGATGATGCTTCTCCAAAAACAATATTTGACACATATATCAACTTCTGAAATGCCTGCACTGGAGAGACACTAACATGGTCAAGTTCCAAGAATTCACTTAAATCCCTATAGGTATTTCCATCTATTGGCTAAGAATAGTACAATTGAATTGACTTACCCGGCGTTGCTCAATATCTGCTTCCCGATCCCCAACTTCAAGTCTTTGCCTGAAAATTTTCCTACCAATCTGGCCATCAACAAGCATCAAACCAGTAACATAAGTGACTGCTTTCCTTAATGACAATAAAAGTACTCAATCTCCAAGACCGTGCACACCATTAACACACAAGAATACCTCCATATGCATAGCAGCTGCGTCTGGGTCATCAATTCCTAAAGAATTCTTGAAGCTGATGATCCTATCAGCTTCATCACCCTTAAGCTCCTCATCACCAGGAGGAAGCACAGAAGACACGAACCTTAATGAAAAGTCAATGCAAATTAATCATTCACCACAAAACTTCAACAGACATGTCAGTCATAATCTCATCGTCACACTAAGTAAACACACATATACAGAGATATAACAAGAAACGGGAAACTCAATAGAAACTTGATTTGTCACTCACTGGCAATATACATCACAAATCTCTGCTTTAAATGCTTCATCCTGCTTGTTAACACCATACCTACAAAATTAACCATTGAAAAAGAATCAAAACAATTAGATTTATACAATTAAAAATTTTCTTTTCATAATCAATTTAAATTACTTAATCACCGTCAGTTAACGATAACTGACAAACACTGGACCACAACTACCTCTGAATCCAAAATTAGAATTTCAAAGATATAACAAATTTAATTGATAAAATAAATTAAACAAAAACAAAAAAAAAAAACATAACAGCAATTCAAACAAACCTGTTGGCGATTCCATCAATATCTTCCTTCTTTAACATGGAAGGGTTATCAAGCCCTACCACGTAGTTATGCAAGTTCACAGCAGCAACTTGAGGAGCAACCGCATTCAGAGCGTACGCGGCGGCGCCGCCGGCCACGCCCAAAGCGACGGCACCGCCGAGGGCCGCATTCCGGCTCCCGCTGAACTTAGAGCCGAGGCCGTACCCGGCGGCGATGGCTCCGGCAACGACGACGGCGGAGGTTGCCAGCCGCAGCGGCGGTGATAGCTTATCAACGACGAGCTCCAGTCCATTGAGGTCCTTTGGGACTTTCGGCGGCAACGGCGGCGGCGGAGGGGAGGTGGTGGAAGAGCAGCGAGGGAAGGAAACCCTGAAACGGTGTCGTTTGGAGGAGCGGAGAGGGACGAAGGGAGAAGGAAGGAGTGAAGGGTGGTGGTGAGAAGAAGGGATGAGAGTGTGTGAGGGATTCATGATGATTCCCTCTGAAAACGACGTCGTAACGTTGAAGTTTGGTTGTTGCAGAACAGAGGACAGTAGTGTTACAGTTATAGGGTTTAACGAAAAGGAAGAAGAAGAAGATAGGGAGGAGCCTAAATGGGCCTTTCCTGATGGGCCTTTAATCTTCTGTATAAATGGCCCATTTCTCAAAATAAATTTCATATGAACAGTGAATCTGATTGTTCTTATCACAAAGTACTATAGAAGAGGACTGATGAGCTGCTAATTGGGTTTGCAATCAGCTTTTGGATCAGACATGTAAAAGCCCACTAACAGAAAAGTTGTCAGAATGAAAATAAACAATTAAGAATAAACTGGCTTTTAAACCACCCACCCCCCCCCCCCAAAAAAAAAATAGTTAATTGGTAGAAAATTAGAAATTAAGTGACAAGTGACCCAAATATCTTATTTTCAATTAATGGTGTTGGATTATTCAGATTAAGATCGATCAAAACCTAAATATTACCTATAAAATTAAAAATCAAAACGAAAACTTAAGAAGTATAATATATTAGTTAAATTATATATTTAATCTTTATAGTCAATATTTGTTTATGAATTAGATTCTATATTTAAAAATGTTATGTTCTAGTTTGAATATTTTATCACATTTTAATTTATGTTATTGTTATAATGATATAAGAGGATAAAATATAACAAAATATTTATATAAAAATTAAAATACAATTTTTTTAAAGTATAAGAACTAATATGTAAATATGTAAAATATAAGGATCAATTATATATTTTAATTAATTATAATTTTTAAAAGAATATATAACACCAACATGATATTATTTTATACCTTATTTTTAATATTTTTTTAGATAAATTCAAAAAAAGAATTATTTGTAACTAATACTTATTTATCAATTAGTTCATATACTAAAAATAATTATGTTTTAATCTTTGTACAAGTTTTTTATTATATTTTAGTTCCTAGTATGATACATGATTAAAGACAGAATCAAAATGCAAATTAATAACAAAGAGTAAACCATAATAAAATGCTTATAAAAAAATAAAATATAAATTTTTTAAATACAAAGATTAATTTTTAAATAAGTTTTAATTATAAAAATAAAATATAGAATTTAATCTATTATATTTTATCATGTAACATAGTATATAAAATTTATATCATTCAAATATTTATCATAAGATTTTTTTTATATACCTCAAATGAAACTTATTTTTTGTATTAGATTTGGACATAATATATTATTCCTCAAAATTAATACAATCCAAGTTCCGAACTGTAGTAATTTAAATCTTGTAGTTCAACTTACAAAAAACACTTTTATATACTCATGCAACATAACATAACCAACCTTTTATCATGGAACCCATATAACAAATACAACCTATATAGGTTAGTGTATTTCTGATCTCAAGCACTCACATTGTGACCCATCTTAAAATTTTATAATTTAAGAAAAAAATTGTATATATTTTGTAACGTGAGTGACTACTACCACATACTCTCATGTCACAGGAAAATTACTCTTAATATTTTAATATTTTAGGACTTTAACAGCGGCGACATTTTTCACATCTTTATTTTACTTTTTGCTGGTTAGAATGGTAATAATGAAACATAGAAGAACCACAAAAAGAGGATTGAGATTGTATTTACTCATTGTGGATAGCCTTGTTGAATAACATGTTGTCTTTGGAAACTTGTCAATGAAAAGTCTGAAGCTTTCTTTCAAAATGAACTTTAATTTAATTCTTAAAACGGGTTATAATGAATATTCAAACATTGATAGGACTCTCAACTAAAAGAGTTATGAAAAAAAAAAAAACAGGGTCTCATTAAGGACATTAGTTAAAAAGTTGATAAATAAAAATATATATAGTATTTAGCTAATCTGATCTTAAATATATTATTTAGCATTCATAAAAATAAGTAGTTCGTTTTATGAAGAATATCTACTAAGATCATAGTAGATGTATACAAAATAAAATAAACAAATTTATTTTAATGCAATTTCCTTGGACCTAGCTTTTTTTCTGCGGAAAATTAATATTTCTCTTTTTTTTTAAAAATAGAATATTGTAAGGCTGTGGCGTCCCCATTATTACATGCTCTCCAATTTATAATATTTCGTTTTAATTATTTCATCGATTATACCAGAACATTATTCACATAACTATGAGAAAACTCATGGTGAATAGTTCATATTCTGAAATTAAACCTCTATTCTCAGCTCGCTAAAATTTAAGGAGAGAAGAAATTTGTATATATGTTTGATATCTCCAGAAAGTTGACCATTATCTTATATGTTCAAAACATCCATCATATAGGCGAATTCTCAACCTATATTTAAAGGAGTAAGCATTGTAATCAACAAGGAAACTCAAGCAAGATCATAGTTTTTCTTATAATCATGGCAATAGTTGCTGGATAACTATATCTGTGAAACTTCCCTCCAGTTTTGAATAGCTTGAGACACTACTTGTTCAATTAATTGTGCATCCAAAGGGCGAGTATCTTCATTGTTCTCCTGGAATATCCATAATAAATCATTAGTCGCTTCAATCAGTGGCTCCACCAACAAGTTTAAAATATAACCACAAATAAGGGGGAGTCATGATATGAGTACAATATCTAGACACAATTAATAATAAGTAAAGATATATATATTAAATTTAAAATAATAAAATATAGGACAAACTCTACTAAGACTATTATCTTTGAACTTTTGATTGTCATGATTTAGATAATTGTGTGTGTGTGTTGTGATATCATTAATTACTTTGTTTCCAACAGCTTCTAAACTGAAGTTGTCCACACAAGAAACCCTAGCTTGGAGCACCCCAAGGCCCAGCTCTTCAAAGGCTTCCAATATGAACACCAGTAACCCCTGACAACTTGTTTGACTCAGCACCTTGATTACAAAGCCCCCTTCTTGCGTTTCAACTTTAAGCTACAAAATCCATTAATAACAAGCACAAATTAATTATCACAAACATGTGAATTAACTAATAGATTTTCTATCCTATGCACCAAGTGCATAGCTAAGTTAATAGGACATTAAATATTTCCTCTTAACTGCTTTTAATACAAAAAATACTTTCTTTTCAAAACATAAATTATATGATCAGGTTTGTATACCTTAGGCATTGGATCATAGTCAACGATTTCCCGTGCTGTTGCCACTGTTAACTGGTTCAATTCTTGCAGCTTTTGCTTTAAATCTTGCATGTATTCTAACGCATCCAATAACACTGTGGCTTTACGGCGCTGTATAAATACGGAAAACGTTCCATCATATCTCAATATAATCTTCAATTGTTGACCATTACTAGAGGAAAAAATATCAGCAACTAGCTAGAAATGAGATAGTAAAATATATATCTCTCACTGGTACAGGATATACACACACAAGTAGAAAAGAAATGATCAAAGTGAGTACCTGCTTCTATTCAAATGTTAACACTACTGAGTGGGATTAAATAAAGTCTCCCCAGAAGTTTTCATTAATGGGGGTTGAAATATTTTGAATAAGAGAAAAAGAAAATGATGAGTATGATAGAAATCAAATGGGTGTTGCTCTATTTTAAAGTGGATTCTGCATGTAGAAGTTTATCCAGAAACTTAACGAGGGAAAATGGCATGCAAATTGAGAAGAAAGAGATGTTTCAGAGTAATCACCGAGTGGGAGTATGTGATTGAACGAAGCAGTTGTAGGTTCCTGTACATGGCTGTTCTCTTGTGAACCCTGGAAACCATTCTCTCTCTCTTTCTTTCTCTCTCTCTCTCTCTCTCTCTCTCTCTCTCTCTCTCTCTCTCTCTAGCACACACTCTCTCTCTCACAAGAGGACTATATACAAAGAAATCTAAACAATATTTGATGGCTTATAAAGAGGATGAGGACACAGAATCTTGTTGATCACATGTGATGCAGTTTTGGAATTACCATACGCATGAAATGTTTTAACTTCAAGGGTCTTGTTTTTTTCCTCGAGATATTCATTGTCACTGAACCAATTTTGTTCTTCTTAAGCTAATTAAGACCTAGTTTGACACGGCATATTCTAAAATGTTGAAACAGTGCAACTAATAAATTATTGAAAATTTTTTAATTTGAAAATGGCAAGTTAACAAAGAATAACCGAACAAAATTGACTAGCTAGTAAAAGTAGGAAAGTCACTTTGATATTTGATTAGTCCAACTACCTTTAACCATGCCTTGATTTTAGAATGCCTCAAACAAGAACATTAAATCATTTGAATATTGAATGCTAACTTTACAAGCGGGAAAAACATCTAGTACCGTTTCCATCTTATAGTGAAGTGTTATTTTTATTAAGTCAAAATAATTTTATTAACTAGAGAAAGCAATACTTGAGGACAAGTAATTTTATTTTAATTCAAAAATAATATAACCTAATTATGACTTCTTTAAGTTCAATTTAATTTGATGTTTTTCTTATACTCTAATGATATTTTTCATTCAAAAATTAAAAATTTGTTTCTTTTAAAATAAAGAAGTCACTTAAGTGGGTATGATTTCTTTAAATTAGCAATATATATATATTTTACTATAATTTTTTAATAATACATTTTTTGCTCTTGACTGAAATTTATTAAAAATTTACTGAAATATGTAAGTTTGAGTCTTAATTTAATAAATTTTACTCATAGTTTTATAGCTTTTAATAGCCTTCGATTAATAGTGTATTAAAAAAATAGGTTACTAACACTTTTCTTCTAATATAATATTTCTAACTTACCTGAGGAATATATATATATATATATATATATATATATATATATATATATCAATTATGTTGAGCTTTGTTAGTCGGTTTGTTAAAACATATGCAATTTTACTCCTAATGTTACTCATATTCACTTGTTCAAATGCTTAATTGGTAAGAGAATGGAAACTGAACTTTTGTAGGATGAAAAAAAGGAAGTTAATTAATCATTTAGGAGGAATGTGGAGTTGTTGATTTGCCACATTCAATAGCAGTCAAAGTGGATAACAGAGAAAAGGACAACAAGTGCAAGCTGGTGTAAGTTTGTCCAGTAAAATAAGCCATTGATGCATTATACTTATACATGAAAGAAGAAGCGTGTGGGGTCATATAGTAAGAGAAAAAACAAGTACATGTTATGAAAACAAACATTCTTGTGCATGGGAACGTGAAAAACTGATGAAAAGAAATTTTGGTTATGCATTGGCAGCAGTGGGGTTAAGTTGGAATGCTGGCAAGGAATCTCAATGGTTGATCGAGACACCATTCACAGTAGCAACTAGCTTAACGCCTAGCATAAAGTTTCGAAAAACATGTTCTAGCTTTAGGTGTCTTCTTTGGATGCCTCCAAGTTTTCCTCACGGGGAAGGGTTTCTCTCTCTTCTTCTCTCTCTCTCTCTCTCTCTCCCTCCATATATATTTCACTACCCAGACACTTTGAAAGGAATTTTGAATTTATTATAAGTGCTGGAAAAAGATGTTATAAACCGATGCAATTTGTTAATTATTTTCCACTTTTTCCAAAACAATCAGCATGGCTTGGTTCATTGAAAAATATTATTTTTTTACTAATGATTAAATGTTAAAATTAAATTATTAGTATGGACATTTTAAATTTATAGTAATAATATAATATATTATACTAACAAATAATTTAACAATATTGATCATTAATATACAATATTAATACACAAATGTTACTAAAAAATTGTGTTAATAGATGATAACTTTTTGTAGTAACTCATCATCGTGCTGTTTCTGTTGTTTTTATCTGTCCGTTGTGAATAGATTAATTAAAATAATAGTATTAAGGTAACAATTATAAGATTAATCTTTCACAACTAGTTTTTTCAAAAATTGTGTTGGGGATTACGTCTAAAGATTTCCAATAGTAGAAATCAACTTATGTATACATTTTTTGGGGATAAAAATTTGATGATGTGAAGTACCATTATTTTAAGAAAGAGACTTAATTATAAATATATTTAGTGTAATATATGAGAATATTGGGCACATCACGTCGCATTGCTTAGCACGGTATAGAATCAAATTTCAACGATGTTGCTATCAAAATTAACAAAAACTGTGAAAACAAATCGCGGCATAAAAATATATGAAAGGGTCTGTTTAACAATGATAACAATATTAACTCTAGTAAACGCAGCAATGATAGCTATGGAAGAATAACGATTATCATAGTCAATATAGAGATGACAGTGTTAGTCAGATATTTTGAAGCGATTTGATATGACAAGTTAATTAGATATTTAATGGTAAAGATCAAATCATCATTTTATATAGTTATTTGAGTTTCACGTGTACATAATCACTCAACTAAAGTCACATTTACTTACAATGAGTGACTCAAATAAATGATGAGAAAGTTATATAAACACCTCTCATTCTAAAGGGAAGATCTAGCTCTCCCCATAATATTTTTTGTGCACATGCATTTTGGAATTAAAATCGCATGTTTAAGATATTTGAATCACTCAAATTAACACACGTTGGTATATTTTGTTTAATTTATTACATAAAAGTAATATTTAAGGATGATTTACATGGAAGAGTAGGCAAGAAAATTTCAATGGTGGCGTGCCATTATTTATATCACAAAAGCTATTAATGATTGTAGGATTATATAGGATATATATTGAACAATCACTCAGATTCAACCGCAGCGAATAATTAAGACCACAGAAGGGGAATATATACTTATAAGATTAAGGAGCATGGTTGATTCTGGTGACCACAAGTATTATAATCCTACATTATTGTACTTTCAAACTTTTTGCTCATTTGCCTCATCTTGTAGGAAAAAGTTTTTTTTAAATAAGTTTGTTCATAAAACTAAAAATGTTGTCTATTTTTAAATTTTATAGATTAATACTATTAAAAAATCTATTATTAGGATTCAGATTTTCTCACATCATTCAATAACATGATATGGTCATATTAAAGAAAAATTCATTTTTTAATCAAAATAAATTAGTAATTCCTATACTATAATTAATTATAGTGTTTTTTTTAATAAGAATTATACTTTTCTTTCCCTGGCATAATATATAATGTTCCTCAATAACACGAGAGAATTGTCTCTAACCCCTAATTCAATTTCTTACAGTGACTGAATCTCAGTTCAATGAAACAACGGTTTTGACAAGCAACTTTATTTGAGAGAACGACAGAATGTACCACAAACATTAATTCCGAATAATATCTTAAACTTTTGAGGATATTATTTCTTGGAATGATGAGAATATTGGTGGTTCATCCGTCAAATTTGTTTTGGATTTGTCTCTGAGGTGTCTGCATTCAGCTGCGATAACTTCAGCAATTACCCATTCTAGCTTTCACAAAAAGGATAAAAGTACTGCTATTTGGTCATGCTCGTTCACAGGGATACTCGTTTGAATACATGTTGCTATTATTCTTGGTAGCAAATAACAATGATAATATTATTCTCATCCTTACTCTTTTTTTCTATTACGTCGTTTATCATATTTTTATTCTTCTTTTTTACTTCTAAACTTTCGTTTACTTACATCTATTTCACACCCTTTTCACAAAATATAAGAACATCATTGTTCTTCTCCCTTTACTTTCTGAAAATATTTTTTATTTTTATATTTTATTACAAATTTTTTATTCTTTTTTTTTTTTTTTGTATTTTTCAATCTTGTATGATTTAGAAATATCTACAATATGTTAAGATTAAGTCTTTTAATAAGAACTTTCCTCTATATAAAACACGAAGTTGAAACCTTATTTAAAAGAATTTAAACACATACGACTTCAAACCAGCTGCCCATATTAATTTGAAGTGGAAAAATGAGTGCAATTCTTTAATTATTTTCTTGTTATCTTTTAATTAAATTAAAATTTATTTTAATAAAAAGTTAACTTTTAATATTATCACAAATTTATTGATATAAAAATATCATTTTAACTAAAAGTAACATAAAAAACACTTAAAGAAGTGCACCTATAATTGCTTTTGTCCTATTTTCAATCCTTAATTCTACATGCACGTTGCCTTTTAGGAATCCAATAAGTCTTAGGATTCAATTTTAGGTATGTGTGAGGGTGGAACGGATCGATCGATATATTAACTTTCACAGTTTGATATGTATTTCCCCTATTTGCTTTTTTTTCTCAGCATGACAAATATTATTGTAACAGAACAATGTCAGTGAGTTAATAGCCAATTATAATATTTTTTTATTACCATAATGTAATTTGTTTCTGTTATATAAGTTTGATTTGTACGTTTTAACCTTTTCGTAAATTTACGACCCAGATTTCAAAGCTTAAGTGTATAGTAAATATCATGTGAATGTCCTCGCTGCAGCATGCTAAAAAAATTAAATTAAAGCCTTAACTTTCCAAGCTATCTTTGATTACTTCATATAAATATGTTTTCACCCATTGCATTATAGGACACTGAATTCAAACAAATTGACATGTATGAAAACTCCTTTACATGGGTAGGATAGCTATTAATTAAATTATAGGTTTTCAAAATTTTCTTCTTATATCCTTAAATCTTTTATGTACATATCTTTCTTTTATGAGTATGGCCAATGGTTGAAAACTTGGTTTCCTTTTATTATTTCGTTTCTGTTTTCCCTATTGGGCGCAACCTGCAGTTTGAGATTTAAGTAAACTCTAAAAATTTTAATGGAAGCAAAGCATGTGATCGATGTTACCATTTCATGTTGATACATGATCAAAAACAGTTGTCTTAATTATTACTGTTTTGGTTTATGTATGAATTATAATGGGTTAGAGTAACTTGTACTCTTC